TCAAAATAAACACCCTTTTGTATGGACGTAAACGTTTCAATAAAAAAAACTAGTTCCACTAAAGCAGCTTCAATCTTCTGGTATATGTAGGCTTTCTTACAACTGTTTTGCAGGCTGCTTCTAGAATGAAGTTTCACCTGCAACCTTCCAGCAAGAAGCTGGCGTTTCAGCAAATAACAATTAATTGAAAAGGAAAGCATTTCCATTGCTCTGTGATCATCTGTCTAATGACCACCTTGCACTGCAAGTAACTGTGGGACCTGAAACCTACAGGAATTTTTCTGTGTTGCTCCTCGTCATCATCAAGAAACTTGAGAGCGCAACACTGCCATATTAGTTGTAGCAATTTAGAGTCTTATTCTACACAGAACTTTCCTCATTCCATGTGTGACACATGACAGTGGTTAACAGATTTCTGGAAGCTTTAGGATCTTTCAGAGTGTGGCTGCACGATGTGTTTTGAACCTTCTGTGTACATATCCTGGAAGGATGACAAGCCACGATAAGCAACGGTAAGGCTGAAGAAGTAATTCACTGGGTACAGGGCCTAAGAACAGAGAGGACAGGGAGGCTGGTGGTGATGAGTATCACTTCTGTGGAAAATGGATTTCCAAGCACAGGCAAAACCAGCAGGTGCACGTAAGAGGTTGTTCGCATTTACAAATGAGCAAATCGAGGCCCATACCCTTCAAAGCAATGGCGCCTCTTTGGAGTTATTGTCACGTAAACAAAGTAGCAGCTGTCTTTCAGAGTGTACTTCCTGCTGTGTAGGCTTGGGGACCTGGGGAGGGCATTTTATTATACTGTTGTCTCCTCAGCTATAGGAACATTGCTTTAATATGATTTCTTAAGAAGGAAATATTATAGCGTGTGATCTATCACACAAGCCAAAGATCACATTAGCTGTAATTACTTTTTGGCTGAGCTCATATTGGTCAATGCAGTCTTTGGGACTTCAGGGTGGTGCTGATACTGTTGGTTCACTTGCACAACAGTAAATATGCGGCCATCAAAGCAAAGGCCTTGACAGACTCAGCCTGAGGTTTCTTAAATGCATTACAGGATACAGAAAGAAACAAGATTAAAGCTGGGTAAAAGGCATAGCCTATGGACCAAACAAGCATCTGCAGCATTTACTGAGAGTAGGGCCTCAGCAACACATAGGAAAAAGGTGATTCAGAGCTGTGCAGAACCTCAGAAATTCAATGACTTCCCTCTGCAAGCAGCTGCAGCTTAGCTTCTCTGATTTTTGCCCTGTCTACAGCGAGGGCACAAAGGAGAGAAAATTGCTGTCGGAGTGATTTCAAATCTCAAGGGCTGGAGACAATTTTAGACAGAACGTGAGCAGAACTGAGGATCAAGGCCAGAAATTAGGCAAGCTGGCCTAAATACCACAGCAATTGCCTTGAATTTTCACTCAAAGGTCATAACAAATGATTTGAATTACTCAAAGTACTTCGGTGACATTCTCTTCTACTCCCATGCAATCTGACTCCCATTATTTCTACTATCCAAGCATTTCTTTAAATTGCATTCCTCAGATAGGATGGGTAGCAGAAGAACTAGAAGATGTTCCATCATGTCTAGTGAGAAGTAGGAAGTAACAAAATTCTTGAAGAAACCTACAGCCACAGGATTTCTAGCCTAACACCCACATACTCACTTTAACTGGCCTTTCTCAGTCTGAACTGTCTATCTAATGGCTTTTGTGTTACTAAAACAGTAGGTACCCTGGAAGGAAACGTACAGCTATGCAAAATCAGCCAGAAGTCCGTAATCTACACCTGTGTATGGATCCTATCACAAGATCACTGACCTAAGAGTAATACTGAAAACACTTAAAAGTAAAAGGTGGCTCCACTTACAGGCAGGAACCAGAGATACAGATATTGAAGGGAAGACTTCAAAGGATCTTCAAAGAGGACATAAGGGTCTTTTTGGAAATTACCTTTGTGACCAGCCCGAGCTCACACACAACATCTGTAAGAGACACAACCTTTATAGCTAAAGCACAAGTCCACCCAGCCCAGCATCCTCTCATTCTCTCTGACTCATTCTCCTGAGACTCCTGCCAGTGCTCCTGCACTTTTCTTGCTGTATGATGATCAGTACATAAAATATTAATAAACTCCACTTGACGGCAACTCTTGGCCTACAGACCCCAGACCGTATCATCAACCTCCATTGCCAGAGCTCACTTTGCAGGAGAGCTCAGGTACCAGCAGCTGCCCTGCTGTAGCAGCAGGGAGTGGGCTATTACATCCAGCTTTTCAGGCAGGCTTTGAAGGCTGCATGCAGCTTTCAACCACACTGACCAGACTGCTGTTGGTATCAGAACTAACACCACTAGTTCATGTCCTTCAACAGTACACTGCAGGTAGCAAAGTGAAACATGATCTAGAATAGAACAGACTCAAAGAAGTCTTTCTAAGACAGAGGAGTGGGAGAGAAGAAGCCAGCATGAAAATATCCCTGGGGTTACTGACAAAGTAAAGGAGACATATACCAACCAAGCTCCTGTTCTCTACCTTAAGGGCGGTATTTCAAATTGTCAGGTAACTAGCTAGCCCTAAGTGAGGAGAAGCAGCTGCACACAGTGCTGAGGGTGGCAGTTATAGCAAGTGCTTGTCTCTCCTGTAGTTACCCTCATTTCTGTGGTCAGCACTGCTCCCCCAGGTAGGCTGGAGGCTGTGGCCACCTGAATCAAATCAGGAAGAGAGGCTGGCAAGGAGGAGGGAAGGAAGCAGATTGAAATAGAAATGCATGTGTAGAGCCCAAAATAGACATTGTGAATATGTGGGCAAGCCTGGGAGAGGGAAAAGACAAACATTTGGGAGACAGTGATGTGAAGGGGAGGTAAGGGAGATCTTGCACCTATTTGGCCCACACCACTACAGTTAAGCTGGAAAGAGAAGCTGGAGGACAGGGAAGAACGAAGTAACATTGACCATATGAGACTAATATTTCCAACTAACCAAAAATCATGTTTTTAAAACAAAGTCCAATGCTGTACTCTTTCAAATAGGCAATAAAAATATTACTGAAAAAGCAAAGCTATATTATTTCAAATCAAGCCCATATTTCGAGGTGGGCACTGAAGTTACCACATGCTGGACACGGTCAATTTGGACGCTTTGCTTTGATTCCTGCCTATTTTTACATGATCACAACACCAAACCAAACCATCTTACAGTTTAAAAGCATTTTTTACTTCAAGAAGAGGCTCCCTGTGGTTCTTTCTTTCACCAGCTTGCAATCAAAATCCAAGTTACATTTAACAGTGAAAGGTAATTGCTTTCTAGAGCTCGTTTTGTTTTGGTTTGTTTGTAACGGACTTGGGAAAAGCTCTGAACAAAGGCTTTGGTAATAAATAATTAAATAAATGAATCATATTGCATTCAGCCACATCTAAGTGAAGTCGGTACTAGTTGGAAATCTCTGCTGTTTGAATACACTTCTCAGACCAGATAACTACCTGCTGGACCAGAAATTGGGGCAGTGTTGATTTGGAGATTTCCCAGAAGCTTTTGTTCCCATCCAAACTTCTTCTGGCCACCTCTACTGGTGAGCAAATTGCTTGAGTCTGGAGTGGTACCTCGAGGTATCTTCTCTCCACTGACTAGAAAACAGGAAGTCACAGATTGGTTTATCGCTGAGGGTGGCTGAGTCAGTATATAATCCAAATCTGAAGCTAAATTGAGGGCTGCAGGCTTCTCTGCTGAGAATAAAAGCCTGCAGTCACTGGACACCACACTAGTAAAAGGAAAGGGCAGATTGACTTTCCATTGCTGCTATGGGAACTGTGACAAGATAAAAATAAACAGGAATGAGTGGTGGACAAAACAGCAAGTGAATGAAGACACAAAACAGAAATACAGAATACAATCTTTAGCATTCATTAGAAAGTTTCTCTTTTAGCCCGTAAAAGCATGTACCATCTTTTTTAATTACAGTCTAATTTTAAGATCTCTTTAGAATACTGGAACCTGAGGTACATTGTACTTATGCACAGAAACAAAGGAGTATTACAGCATAGATGGAAAGCCAAGGCAAATTAACACAATATAAAGCAGATGAAACATTCTGACTGCTGTTGGATAAGGAAGTAGTTTAGAGGTTTTCAGTCTGAAGTGGGCTACAGAGGTTGTAGCTTCAAGCCTAGGAGATGGAAGAACACATTTAACTTCTACTGCACAACTGAAGGCAGAAATTTCATGTGTTCAGAGCAGCAGTCCTCCAGTCCTCATGTAAGTTGTTGGTCTGAGCTATAGAGTGACAGATCATTGAACATATTTACAAATTAAGCAATTCACTATGCATGAGATTATAAAAGACAAGCCAGACAAAACTGTTCAATAAAAATCTAGACAGGGTGAAATCTGGCAGCAGAGGTATAGACTGGGCATATTCCAGAGGCCAGTCAATCACAAAGTCTGGATCAGAATCCAAATTTTTCCCAAGAGTAGGACAGAATGAAGATTCTACTTTCTGATTCAAACTTAAATGCACGCCAGTCCAAATAAATAACCTTGTTCTAATTTAACTGGAGTATTGTGCCCAATGTTATTGCAAAGTTTGTGTCAATCACAGGATGCCTGTCCTTTCCTAGCCAGAGTCCAACTGTCATTCATTTTGATAACTGTCACACAGCAAACCAGGTCATGTGGAATTCTATAATCACAGATTGGCTTCTGCATCAGCCTGGGTGGACAGGTGATGCTACTGTCTCAGCTGGAAGCTGACTCTCCCACACCATATGTCTTACTACCCACTTACAGCCAACCTCAGAACCTGTTCACTGGTTGGCTCCACTAACAAGGTATGCATCTGAACGGTCTCCTTCATCTAAGCACAGTTATTTCTGAAACATACCTTTGCATTTCAAGAGTCTTTTGAAGATAACAAGACCAAATCCCTTCCCCACAGTTTCAACCCCTTTCCACATTTCAATTACATAGCAAATAAAAGACAAATCACTTACAGATAAAAGGAAAACTTACTTGTTAAGTAGCAGTCCAGACTAAGGGAGACATTGTCAAAAGCAATAACAGCATCAGATCCTTCTTCCCATGAAGCGATGATCTGAAACCAAAACCTGCACGGATTGGAGAACAGAGATTAAATTCTGTAAAGAGATGAAACTCAGAGCTCTTTGCAATTAAAGCAGTTTTAGAATGGGGAAAAAAGCGTTTCTTCTCATGTATAAAAATGCTAAATTGTCAGAGAAAGTACCCTCCCCCCTAACAAGCAAAGATGATCTGAGGAGGGAAGCTGAACATGAATATAGGTAGACAGAAAAAAAGAATACAGCCCCTCTTCCCTCCAGAGGCATACAACCTGAAGCAGGTGCAAGTATGCATGTGTGTGGGTGTCAGGACAGAAAATAAAGTCCCCTGGCTTCTGGCATAAAAAACCCCCAGACACCTAAGTGATTTCATCCTCACAAGTGATTTACATCCTAAAGTGTTAAGAAAAATAAGTAGGCTGGGGCTCCTGAAGGCATTTGGAGTTTCTAAAAGGAACTGGCAATCAAAGGCTGAAACCAATTTAGAAAGTATTCGGTGTTGATCCACCCTCTAGGAAGCAAAGGATATCTTAACAGTCCTGGCACTCACAAAAGAGAGGAACTGACACCGGGTAGTCCATAGGAAGAACAAAACTCATTATCTTCTTGTAGAAGCTGAGCAGGTTTGCCTTAAATCACTTCCACACTCTCAGCTGGCTTTTGCCAGGAAGTTCTGGCACTCCTACATTACCAGAAGAAAGATCACTGTAAATTCACCCTCAGCGATATTACAAGTCAACAGGAAGAGCAAAAGTAACCCACAACCAAATACTTCAAGTCTGATAGTATACTGACCACACATTAATTCAGTGGACTCATGGATTTAGATTTTCTCTTAGCTTAGCAAGTTCATGTTCTCCCAATGCGTATCTGACATATAAAACCATAATACTCTGCTTAGGAAGGAGAACAATTTCTAAAAGGAGCCGAGAAGTCAGATACAATGCTGAAAGACTGCATCAAGACAATAAAAACATGAAACTATCATATGCTGTAGAATGAGCTGCTATAGAACGAGGTGCAAGAGAACACAAAATATTATATAATAAACCTCATTCTCTGTCGTATCTTGATGTTTCACACCAGCAGAAGTTAAGCCATTCATGGGTCTCTAATGCGTATCCATTGTTGATGGTTCCTGCTCTGTCTTTTAGATACAAGCACGTGAATTCTTGCAGGTGTTCCAGTTTAGATGAGAAACTGATGACAGAACAGGGTATTTTTGAGAAGCAGCCCTGTTTCTTTAGAAAGACTGCGGAAGTCCTGTCCCTTTGCTGCAGCAAGAATCTAAACACCAGCAGAATTTTTTTCTTGTCTCAGACTTTAGTCGTTTATGCATAGAACCGGGTCTAAAACATTTCTCTCAGCTTTTTATCTGCTATCAGTATTCTTGCATTAGTCTTGTTGCCTCCTACTGGTTTTAAAAATCTAATTCTCCTTTACCAGCAAACCAATCTCACAAACAAAATTCAGGTGAAGCTTCTCTGCTAGTACATATATTTACTTTGGGACAGTATGTTCCTGTGTTTTGAATTAGGGTTTTGACTGTTTTAGCATCCTGACTCTTGTCAACAAACATAACCAGCTTCCATGTTGTTCTCAAATACACTGCTGCTTTCACCACCAGAAATGACAGTGAGGTTTGACATAAGCTAAAACAGACCCCAGGGACATACGTGCCTTTTGAGGATATCTAGATTGAAGTGTCGTCATCTTCTGCAACTGGTGTTCTTGATAAGCTACCAGTTACCAGCTAAGGTAGCACCATGGTCAGAAAAGCTGACCTAACCAAAGCAAAAACTTCAAACAGAAAAAAATCCTGGCAGCCCCTCAAAGGTGCAATGAGTTTAGAACAGAATACAGTCTGTTCACGAGAGAAAATAGTTGATACAGTTACTATGTTCTTCCTTTTTTATTTCTGGTAAAGCAAAACAATGATGCTTCAATACTGAAATTCCTCACTCCTTGGAGATATGCATTGGACATATGGAAGGAATTTTCTAAAATGAACTCTTTATGTTCTCAAAACATAAGTAGCTGCTACGAAAGAGCAGGTGATTGACACAAAGAACACTGGATACAGTGAAGGAAGAGTATCCCTAGTATTAAAGGAAACTCCAAACAGCAAGACATACTTTTCTTTGCTAAATGATCAGTCTTTATCAGCTCAAAAGATGGTAGCTCTATCCAAATAAATCTGAAGATCACAAAAGTGTATTTTTTCCTTCCCAATCCATACAAAGTCCAATTGCAGTCTGATGTTACCAGAAGCCTCACAGTTCTTGGTATGCCTGAAAGCCACTGTCAGTATGTCTAGGAGAACTGGAAGGAACATAAAATCCCTGGATATTAAACTGGCTTCCAGCTACATCGGCCATCCTCCCCCTGCCTTCTCCGCCCTGTTTGCTGCACAGCTGACATCCCACAATACTTCAAATGAAATTACAAGCTCTAGCATAAACATATGCTGTTCAGTTCGAGACATGCCATGTGAGTCTTAAACAAAAGCTGTTGGACAGACAAAGTGGGCTCTGATCTACTTTTTCCTATAAGTTACTGTGCTAGCAGCAGAGATGACTGAACCAGATGTGAAACAGGTCCTGAATCACCACAGTTCACAGTCTGGTATGTTTTGGAGAACCAGGAGCTACCTTGGGTTGTAAACCACAGGCTGTAGCTCAGCAGAAGCTTCTCCCTCCCTGTTGTGCGCTGCTGAAACCTCCAGGAAGAGATAAGGTGGAAACTGATACAGCCACATGTCTTTCAATTGGCTGTGTTTGAAAATCAATGCCCTGCACACAGTGAACCTTGGCGCTACATTGAAGGTTCCGAACTGAGTCTCTGATGCATTCGATCTTTGGCCTGTTTCCTGAGGGCGCACACTAAATACCACTCGGAGATGTGGACATTTTGATGTGTATTTATGTTTGTAGGGTGCTAAACTGAGGCTGGGAAATGAATTACAAAGACAAATAAGCAGTTCCTCCATGTCACCTTTTCCCTCTGCTTCTGCACACTTTAGTTCAAGTTGCATAAGAGATAGCTCTGCAAAAACTACAATGCACCTTCTTTGTACCTCCAGGCAACTAAATACTTCTGAAAACAGCTTCAAGCAATCTCCCTTGGCAGAACCTATGCTTCATGCCCCAAGGTGTTATCCTTTGATGCACTGTTCATGTCACACCTCTTCAGACAATAAAGGGTTGTTCTTATGAGAACTACTAAATGTTCAGCCTCTAAGTACAAACAGGAAGGCATGATACAAACAAGTATTTATATCATTGAAGGGATTGCCATCTAAAATGTCCATATAAGAATGCAATAGATTGCTTTTTACTTTTATTTACAGTTCATTCAAGTTAAGAGACAGCCTTGCTGATTTCCCCTGCAGGTCCACTGGGGACCAGAATACTTGAGGAGTTTCTTGAAGTTCACCAGGGATGAAAAAAGTGACATAAATGCCACCAAAATACAAAAATCATGTGAATGTTAAACCCTATTAGGGCCATGAGTGCTGCTCTGGCTGCCTATTAATCTGATTTTTTTTTTTTCTAACATGAATGCATGTTTAGTACAAACCTCCTCCTGAGACCAGCATTTCTGCAACGAATAGTTCATATTTTTCTCTTCTCCAGTTTAATGCCACTATTAATTTAGAAATACGATGTCTTTCAAATTCCATTGAAACAAGACCATCAGTTAACCAACACTTCAATCATTAGCTTTGGTGGTTTTAGCTTAATGGGCTAATTAAGGGAAATCTAATCAAAACTTAAGATGAAAATGTCACACATCAGTGAGACAAAAAAAGACCCCCAGACAATCTCATTCCCTTGCCCCCTCCTTTTTTTCTTTCTGTTTGATCCCTGAAATGAATGGAAACAACTCGCTTTGACTCTGGTGGAAGCTGATACTGAACACCAGAAGCATATGTTATTGCAGTGACTTCATACAACCCTGGAGGTGACGTCTCACTGATATTTTTGCACAGATCAAAGTAGGGTATGCTCACTGCGCATACAGTGCTTCAACTGTCACCTATAAAGCACAGATATTGGTCCACAGCACTGTGTAGGCATATTCACTACAGACACAGATGCTGTTGTGGATGGCCAGGAAAGAGTATTCCTGAAGGCAATATACAGGAGCAGCAAAATTAGGGCTGTCAAGTTTGTCATGACTTTGTTGCTTAGTAAGTCCCAGCAACTTCCTCACATAGAATCCAAATCCTCATCAGATAAATCTCTGTTTGTAAGCTAGATTTATTCATAGGAATGAAAATATGGCTGCTACAAAAGGTTTTAATGGCTTGGATATTAGAAAAACCATTACTTGACGACTGGTGGAAATTGCTCCTTATCTATCTCTTCTTTTGCCCTACTTGACCCAGGAGCACAGCTAGAAAAACGTTCCTTAGATGTATGACAATTGGGAAGTACAAGTCACATCCCGCAGAGTTGAGTGTCAGCTGAGCTGTGAATGCAACTCATACAAAGGCCTTTTTTTTTTTAAAAAAAAAAAAAACAAACCTGTTTGAGGCAGATGGGAAATGCTGTACCAGGTGGATGAGAAAAAACTCATTCAAATCTCCCCTTTGGGGAACATCAGCTTGGCTGTCTGAAGGATACAAGTTTTACATAAATTCAAAAACCACTCAAGGGTGACTACTGATCAAATATTACAGAGTCACAGGTAAGAAATAGCACCAAAGGCATAACAAATAAGCTTTTGTTTGGTTTGTTCCTTTGACCCAACCTGTGAAATCTGAATCCATATGAACAGTTCCTTGAAAGTTAGGACCAAGCATATTCCAACTCAGTTAAATCTGACAGAAACAGGATAACAGCAAAGCTTCTGGGCTGTAACCTTCCCCATTCCTCAGGATCTTTGAATCTTGGGTTTTATTTCAGTGTGGTCAGTATTTGAGCTTCATCACATCATCCTGGCCTTTCTGTTCAATCGGTTCTTTTTGCTTATTTTTTCCTTGATCCTAACAGAAGGCTGGTTCCCCCCAAAATACCTGTGGCTTA